GAACCAAATCGATGACTGGCGCCGGCCTAAATATTACCGTGTTAGTGGGCTTGTTATATATCGCAATTAGGTATCTATGAATGATTAAAGGCGGTGAATCAAGGTGGAATTTGCAGAGGAAAGAAGCACCGAAATTTAGATCTTCTGATTTTACTCTGAGGATTGATCTGCTTCGTGTTCATTTGACTCAAATGTTACTCGAGGTTTTTCGCCTGCGATCATAAGTTTCCTACCATTGGAGCTGCTGTAGGTGTTAAATACTACATTTTGAGGAGGGGGGACACCCTGAAATGAAGCTGTCATTCGTAGATTATATTACTTTTTAAGTATTTAAGTTCATAGTGCACAAGTAAAAAAAATATTCACCTAAAAATGGACCTCGAAAATTGAATTTTTCGATCGTAGGATCTTCTTTGAGAGTAACTTTGATCGACTTATCTAAATGAATAACTAATCATTTTTTTTGTTCTGTTCTCGTGACTATACGCGAAAAAAAAAAACTCACCCTCCTTATTGCCTTGATGTTTACGTTTATGCTTATCGGGATAATGACCCGAATCTCGATCGACTTCTATTGGAAAATTCTTTTCAGCTTTATTTATATCTCCAACCTTTGGGTTTCGCTTTTTCTTGGGAGAAGTTTTGCTAGGAGTGGAAGATCTCTCGGAAACTTCAAAAAGGTCAATTTTTATGAGAAGTGCTGTAGATCACACGCTCACGATTATTTGAAATCAATTTTTTTTTCATGCACCTTGGGGGGATTTATTAATTAGGGTGCTTTCTTTCTTGTAGGATTTCCGAGGAGTTATAACGTTGTCCTCCATATTTGCGTTAATTCACAAAAAAAAAAAAATCAATAATTTACTAATTTGTAAAATAATGGCGAACCAAGCGCCCGGTTACATATTTACATATCAACGTCGCTAAATCCAGATATATCATTCCTAATCCGCTTAATCTGCCGACTTGCATTAATATCAAACTTCTTTCAAATTATGGGTGTCACTTGGTACAATTTTAGTCCGATCCTTTTTTAACAGAAAAAATCCCTTGGTTCAGACGCGAATTAAACTTGAACAAATGTAATATTCATTTCTTCATTTCTTCAGTGTACTCCTGTTTAAATGCGGAAATGGACCGCTTGCTCTTCAAGAATTTCATTCAAAGATGATAGAAGTTTTCGCCTGCCGTAATCCTGAACGATGGGCCATAGCTGCGAAATTATTCTTTGGCACCAAAACCATTGCCGGGGGTAAAATGAAAATGGCGTATTCGATACTTTACAATTTAAGTCCCACTAGAATATTTTTGTTGTCAGAAGACACAATTGTCGAAGCTGAGCGTGAGATGGAGAGCATTCTTCTTAAATTAAAAAACTTGTGGACTCACAGACCTACCGTAAATTTTGAGGTTCGTAAGAAAAAAAAGAAGTTGTATATACACCGAAAGCTAATTTCTCCGATTTTTACTGGTAGGGTAATGCTTACAATGTGGGCGACTTTATTGTTCGTGCAGCAAATCCATTATCTGCAAATGTATCCTATAAAGGCATGCTTGTTGAGGTATCATCTCTACCAAATTTAATTCGTTGATTGTCTTTCTTTTATTAAAAATTTGGATGCTTCTCCTGACAGGTTGAATACCTTCCTGCCGTTCATCCGTACGTTGCTAATTCACTTTTACGTGAATTTCTTACAATGATCGTTCCTGCCACTATGGAAGTTGTGCAGTGGGAGCCAAATGAAGAGAATTCTTATTCTAAAGTTGGTCTATCCGAAGAGGTCTTTACAAGAACACATACCAGTTATCAATACATGATGCTGTTCAAGAAGGAGAATTTATTGTTATAACGATTGAGTCGCGTAATGTCGTACCATTTCAACATGATTTATTCTGTATATTGTATTCAAATTGATTCACAGTTTATTTTTAGAAAAAAAGAATTTATTATTTTACCAATAGTGCTTGACGAATATCCTTTAAATAGAAAATTTTTTTCTTTTTTTAGTTGACTTTGACTTTAAATCTTCTGTGGCTTTCGTCTTTTTCACTCCCATTATTTGAGAATTATCTGTCACGAGAAATTGATAGTTAGAAATAAATTGTTTAGGAAAATCGATGTAGTCATGTTTTCGGAAAACTTACGTGATGGTTCATCTAACAATCTGTCGGCCAGATCACGCACGATGCCACTCGTCAAGTATTTAGTAGAGACCCCGCGAGGAATCAATTGCTGTGACAATAATTCTTTTAGTTGAGCTTTAAGTGATCGAATTCGATCTTTTTTATTATGTTGATTATTTCTCAATCCTTCGTTATCGCCGCCGTCTTTGATTTTTAGACTAAATGCAATTGGAATTGTTAATCTCAGGAATCGGAAATAAAAATCGACAAATGATATGATTAACTTACAGATCTTCATGCAATTCTACCCCGAATTCTTCGGCTGCTTTTTTCAGCCAACCATCGTCGTGACTGCTCTGAAATATTTATTGTGTTAGTTAATGATATTAGTGACTATAATTAATGACTTAATCTGACATAAACCTTTTGTAATTTGTGTTCTTCTTGATCTATTTGCTTCGCTAAGTTAATTCTTTGCTTCATAGAGTTTATTATTCCAGCATCAATCGGAAAATTTGGAATATCATCGACTATTTCGCGAAAAGAAGGAAAAAAAAGAGGAATTTAATTTTACGCAAAGTAGGAATCCTTAAAGAAAATACAGGGATGTTACCTTTTTTCAATTTTCCAAGAATCTTTCGGTACAAGGACAATTCCTCAGGACTACATAACATCAAACTGATACCTTCTCTACGTGCACGAGCCGTACGACCGCTTCTGTGAACATATATCTAAAGATTTTTAAAAGTTCTATTAGAAATAATTATAGTTTGGGTTAATAAATTGGTATCACTAATATTTACATCTCCGGAATGTGGCAACTGGTAATGAATCACGTGCTCGACAAGAGGAATATCCAATCCACGAGCAGCCACATCGCTGGCAACCATCACGGCCTTGGGGTTTTGTTTAAAACTTGAAAAAACAATAATAGTGCGAGTTATGGGCGCTGATTGATTTATATCAGATGAATGGTAAGTAATTAGATTCATTATTTACCGATCCAAATTTTTTAGCCGTTGTCGTTGCTGCATTTGTGCGTGAAGGCCGTAAACTTCAATGTTCAATAGCTTCATTATAGGAACAAGTCGACGGATGGCATCAATACTATTAACAAATATAAGGGTTCGACCAGGATATCTCGTGATGAAATAGTATGCATATAAATCCTGGGTGTTTTACAGTGGATTTGGTTCATTAGAATTATCGAATTAAGAATTAATTCAAAGATATCATACTTTATCCTTGGTCAGGCATTCAATCTTGGATTCTTGGAGAGTTTCCACAACAGACTCCTTTGGTGTAATGTCTATGAACACGGGATCGGGATCATTAAATTCTAATCTTTGCATCAACTCGGCTTTTGAAACAGGAGACAAAGGAGTTAATACAATGCAAATCACGAATTTTAAAATCGCGTTATCAATTACCCATTGTTCCTTTCGACTCGGATTCTACCTTCCGAGGTTTATTATTTCTTCGTTTTAAATTTTCTTTCAAACTGCTATCTAAGGTGGCTGAAAATATAAATGTTTGACGTGAAGGACCTGAAATACAATTTCGTTTTTTTTTAACGATCTCGTCATTTGGTATACATTTGGCAATGATTAGACATAATTTTGTGCGTACCTTGCAAATTCTCCGTTATAATTTTATCTTCATTCCAATCACTTGTGTTCCTAAATAAATTCTTATGTGTTAAAATTCAATTACTTTTTTTAGGGAACGAGACATGCATACTTACTGTCGGCTTTGCGATAAAACGGTGAGAATGTGATTCAATTCTTTGAAATGACCAGTTTCGAGCATTCGATCCGCCTCGTCTAAGACGAGGTGTTTAATGTGACGAATGTTTTGAAGATAATCATCGTTCTATATTAATTAACAAAATTATTATGATGACCTAGAAGAAGTATCAGTAAGAGCGAATCATCGGAATTAGTATACCTCCGAAAGTAGTTCCCACAATCGACCAGGTGTTGCGACGATTATATTAGGCAGTTTTGCCAACAATCGTTTTTGCTTTTGTATGGCCATGCCACCCACGACAGCTATTATCTGGATTGACAGATATGTCTCGTCATCATCAAATGTCATAAGAAAACGGAATTCTTGGTATTACTCTCACCTTAATCGCACCACTCTTACTCATATTTATAAGGTGTTCCTTAATTTGAATTGCCAATTCTCTAGTGGGGGTTAAAATGAGACCTGTTAGTTGACCTTTGACATTCGATCCCCTATTCTTAATGATGTAGTCCAAAATCGGGATTCCAAAAGCAAGTGTTTTGCCGGAACCTGTTTCTGCAGTACCGACAACATCTCGTCCAGATAATCCGAACGGAAGTGCATTTTCCTGAATAGGCGTCGGTGCACTAAAGTTCAGAGACCTTAGTCCATCCAAGATGTCAGATGAAAGATTGAACTTTTCCCACGCATCTGTCAAGTTAAACAAATTTAAGTGATAAAAATTTAATGGTCCGGGTCATACATTCGGCTTTCGTACCTATATTAACCTTTTCCGGTTCCTTACTCGCTGATTCCATCGTGATATTTATATGCTTATTATCCTGATATTTTTTTTCTATTGTATTACTAGCCTGATCCACTTCGATCTGAGGAACATCATTTTCTTCTTGTTCCGAATTTTCCGTTGATTGAGGATTTGACCGCGATTCAGAATCTCCAGGTATGGTTGAGTTCTTCAAATTTTTTTCGTCAAAATTATCCAAATCATAATACTTCAACGATTCACTAGCAGGTAGCGGTTCTTCGGGTTTTGCGGACGCATTGTTTTTTATCCTTTTTGACGGATATTGATCACTGTGAACTTTCTGTTCATCGCATTTTGATTAACGAAAATTAACCGATTGCTTTTAACATGAAGGTCGACCTGAAGGAAGGTTCAATCGCATAAAATCTGACCTTGAATTTGATGGTATTTCCCTTGGTGGCGGTTTCTTCGTATTCGACATGAACGTTATCTACCTCTTCTAAACACAAGAAGCCGCTTAAATTCTCTTCGTCTGCCACAAACGTCGATTCTGGAACTTGCACTTCGGACCAGTCGAGGTCATTAATGCCTAAAAAATCATTTTTTCTATTTCTTCTTTCCACAATATCTTCTTGTCCCGAGGCAGAAATCTTTCGCTTCTTCGATTTGGTTGGATTTGTTAGCGACTTTTCTTCAGAAACTGTCGACGAAACAAAATGCTGGGACCCCTTTTCCCGAATTCTGACAGAGGCTTTATTTTTCTTGTGATTGCTACGGCGATCTCGTTTATCTTTTTTTTTATTTTCGTTCTTCGGGCTCGGATTGTCTTGCTTGACCGCAGAAATTTTATTGGAAAAATTCGAACGTTCTTCGGCAGACATTTTAAAATTTCGAGTATGATGGTATGAACAAATTTTAGATGCATTAAAAAAAAATTTAATCTTCCAATCAAAACGTGTCACATGCTGATGCCGAAAGTTTAAAAATGGACCAGATTTGGATTAGAGGCTTATCTTTCGTCTCTCTGTTGAATCGTATCTGATGCCTGATCCAAAAGTTTCTTATGCCCCCATAAAACGTGGGAGTACGATCAATATTAACAAAATAAATTCACGAACTTTCTCCAGGTGAGGATCTGCTTCTGAGATTAATCTTTGATTGGAATAAAGAGGTTTGCTTTTGATTGATGGTTGCAATTTATTATGCAGCTATTAACTCTCCGTGAGCAATGAAGGGGAGGTTGGTTTTACAAAGTGGTCGATTCAAAGGCTTACTTTAGTTTAATTTCGATCTATTTTGTTTCGCTTCCCTTCCGAAATCTCCTCAATACAAGCGTACCATTTCGACTCCTTGTGCTACTTGCTTGTTCAAAGATAATATTCGCGTTCTCAACTCATGTCACACGCGAATGGTTTCTTATCCATGGGGCGCCTGCATCTGTAGTTGTGTTTGGAGTGTTGGGAGGATCAGGGCTATTGTTGTTGACTTGGCAAAACTTCATGGGCAATCATCGAACATTAGTGAGCATGAAGGTAGGATTGATCCTTGTCTTGAAGTGATCCGTTTCTGCATCAAATCCAGTCATTAATCTTATTTTTTTTAGTGGCCGAAAATTGCTTTATATACATTAATATTTACCGCACAGATATATTTCTGGTTTATTGGATTGTCCAAGTTAAAAACTACAAGGTGAGTAAACTATGGCTTGGATCTTGACTTTCTACTTTTATTTTAATATCTTGCTTTCTAATATAATTTTAAGGACCGTGATGTTAACACAATATGCAGACTTGTGGAGCATGTCTTTTGTGGCGTACTTTGTTGGAAACAGTTCATCATCTAATTCGACATCGACGGTAGGTTTCGTGTAACTTGGTTTTGTCCTTATTATTTGCCCTGATTGATTCGTGTATTTGATTTTCATGTTTGTTTATTTAGTCCCGGGGCGTTCATTTTATAATTTCGACTGTAGTTTTATCTTTTATTGCAGATTGTACACATATACTTAGTAAATAAGTATTTTATTATTTTAATAATAATTATTTTTCGCGTTTTCTGAATCAATTTATATGTTTAAATATTTGTGCAGTAGAAACTCCCACAAAATCGACAATACTATTGGCTCAAGACACAGACAATTTCAGAAAAAAAGGTTTTCATGAAAACAGTCCAATTAAGAATCTGATTATTGGGTATATTTTCATTCTGGGTTCTGTTTGTTTGTCTGGATACAAACGGACGTTGGGAAAGAAGTTGGCCGCTGATGTGGGAGGAAATCGTCGCTTGTTTGCAATTTCAGTACCACTTGGTGCATTGATGATATCACCCTTAGCTTTTGTGCAATACCTTGTGGTAAGTGTTTAATCCATTAAAAATATTTTCAGCATAATCGTTTTCTTGACGCCTTCACCTTTTGCTACAGTATACCACGAATTACGCAGGGAGCATTAATTCTGCCATAATTCTATTTGGAGGTTTGGGAATTGGGCTAATGATTTTTGATTACTTTGTTTGTCATTCGGTCAGCATTCAGGCCTCAACCATATCACATATATCGACTGGCTGGCCCTTATCGATCGCAAGTATTATTATATGGGGTTTGATTTGGTTCCATGGGGAATTTTCAATCTTGGACATTATCTTCTGTGTTATTATGTATGTGGGGATTTATAATCTTATATTGTCGGATGCGCACTATGCTGCAGAAACTCAGTTCCCGTCGCCAGGGATTAGTGGTAGAGCATTTGATCTTCCACTTCACAACAACTCTGTTCTTGTAAGGGGATCAGGGATTTCTGAATCCATTGGATTCTATCTGAAGTTGATTTTCGAAAACGGAGATTCCAGGCAAATTTTTTATTTCCTACTGTTAAACATGAGCTATATGTTTGTTCAAGTAATATATGGCATATGGACCAATAGCCTGGGTTTGATTTCGGATGGTAAGGCGGTGGCCAGAAACGAACAAAGTTAGGCTTAGTCGAGATTCTTTTGACTATTCATTTTCATAACCATTTATTTAAACTAGCTATTCACATGTTCTTTGACTGCATGGCGCTGGCTGTTGGATTGTTTGCCTCCGTCATGAGTAAATGGCCAGAGAACAACAAGTTCACATACGGGTAATTACTTATTATCCTATTTATTAGAAATTTTCCTGCGGTCCTAATAATATATGGTTGCATTTTAGTTACGGGCGTATCGAGACATTATCTGGGTTTGCTAATGGAATATTTCTCGTTCTGGTTTCGATATTTATCGTGTTTGAAGCTATCGGCCGTTTATTCGAACCACCAGAAATGAACACCGACAAATTACTGTTGGTGAGCTTCGTGGGGCTTATTGTGAATCTTATTGGTATATTCGTATTTAATCATGGTCATCACGGGCACTCTCACGGTTCTCACCAAAGCCACCCTACTGACAAGGATCACGGCATTGTGCATGGTCACCATCAACATAATGGCCATCATCACCATGACCATCACCATCATCACCACAATCACGGAGACAATGCTAATATGGAAGGTTCTTGATGATAATTTTCTTTAATTCATTATCTTTTATAGTTCCACGTGCCAAGTTTAATCCTCGATGCATAACTTTAGGAATTTATCTGCACATATTAGCAGACACGCTTGGATCGGTTGGAGTTATAGTGTCTACAATCTTAATTCAGAAATTTGGTTGGACGGGGTTTGATCCATTGGCATCATTATTGATTGCTGGATTAATATTCACGAGTGTGCTGCCCCTGATAAAACACTCCGCTTCCGTTTTAATGCTTTCAGTAACTGGTGACCTCGATCGTAATATTTCCGAAGGCTTACATGAGGTAGAGAGAAGCTTTGCACTAATAATTTAATTTCTTCACCTTAACTAATTTTGGACAATTTATTGACAGTTATTGCACATTCCTAATATAAATTCATACACAATGCCACGATTCTGGCCTAATGATGCTGAATGCATAATTGGTAGTATACATGTTCAAACAACAAATGAGGCGAATGAACAAGCAATCATATCGGAAGTCACTAAAATATTAAAATCTCATATCAATGGTTTGGAGGAATTAACTGTGCAGGTAGAAAAAACTGGCGGTTTTCAAGGATGTTTTTGTAATTATATCAACTCTAATGTTGATAGGAAATACTTCGTAGGAATTAAACATAACATAGAGGTACATAATAAAAGGAAAAATTATTAGTATTTAAGTTTAATGAATTTAGTTGTCAAAAAAAAAAAATAATTTTAGATAAGATACTCTCGAGGACGATTGTGCGATCTATGTATGATTGTTTAAATCGAAATACTCAAAAATTTTAGTTTTTATTTTTCTTTAATAAACACTTAAAACTTATAAACACTACATATGTATTCATTTTTATCAAGAATAATTAAATTAAATAAATAGAATTAATTTTGTCACTATTGATTGCAATTTCTGTTATGATCGGCCGAAAGTGCTACTATTTAAGTAGTTAACCGGATTGCGGGAACGTATTTGTAAAAAAAAAATTTATTTTACATGATTCAATGTATAAATTTGAATTGATAGTCGTCTATATTTCCAAATCGAAAATTTTGTCTCTGAGCATGAATTTTGCTGTGTATCCACCCCATTTGGTTTGATATGTTTAGATTGTTTTTTGTACAAACAAAAAACTATTATTTTATTTTATTTGTCAGTATGATACATATAAAAAATCAAGTGTGAATTTTATTAATAAATAATAAATAATATGGTGATATAAATTTATTTATACGTGTATAATATTATAATTCTATATATAAAAGCATGATTTTTGAATGGAATTTTTTTTTTTTTTCCAGAAAATAAATATATATACTGTATATAATAATAACAGTTGCCAAAAACTGATTGCACCCAAATTAAATTAAATTTACCAAATTTACATTCTTCACAGCTGATCATTGCTCTTTATAATAAAAAAACAAACCACCTTGCAGCCAACAACACAAGTTTAGCAACAATAATTGTTTTTAAAAACCAAGGGCTCAAGTGTCCAAAGGGAGTGTCCAGGTCATCTTGGAATAAGGCACAGTAATGGCGTAGACTGAATATTAATATTACGTATTTTTGCCTCGGCGGCTTATTAACCATGACAATCCGGCGTGGAACTTGTCCCGAAAAAGAAATGTGGGAATTAGCGTAGCAGAAAAAAAAATTTTTTTTCCTCCACATATTCATTTAATTAAGGTATTCCGATTATATAATTCCTTGGCTAGCCTTGAGTGTGTAGGCAATTAGAGTACATCATTTAATTGAAGTGAAACCCGTAGATATTTATTCCAAAGAAGTCAATAGACATTAGTAAATTTTTTTAAAAATACACGTCTTATTTCCTCATAACACGTAAATGCCACATGCGTAAAGAGAAGTGTCGAATTGATTCGAAAAATTCATTATTTTTTTTGAGTCATCCATTGTTGAAAACTTTTTTACTAAGGCGCGTTCTATAATAAAAAAATATGAGTCGCGGATTTTTTTTGTTTAACTTTATTTATTCAGTATTAATACGCTAACAACATAGGATAATCGCGTTCATCAGACCTTGTTTAACATAATTTTTTCCCCAATAACACCACCTGATAATCCTGTAATAATAAATCCATAACAATATTTTCCGTCCTTATAAATACATTTAGCATTATCAATATCTCATAATTTTTAAAATAACCTTAACATAAACATGTCACCACAACTAAAACCCAAGCGTTCATTTGGAAGGCTTAACAAGGCAAACCAACGTGAAGATGACGGCGACCATATTGATTCGAAAAAGCTATTTTGCAGCACTGGGAATCCTATAACCTTCTACATAAAACATGCTGTGCCAGAGCGGGCGATGCTTCTTAATCTAATCGAGGTCAGCTAAATACTTTCTTACCGGTCTTTATTGCATTTTCTGTAAAAAATACCTTCCTCCTTTGCAAACACATTTCTTCTACAATACATGTATTATTTCCCTTTCCGCAGTCACATGGCGGAAAAGTGGTTGAAAATTTTAAAGAGGCGGAATTTGTACTTGGTGATCCCAACAAGACGCAACGTTTCGTTAGCGGGATACGGCATATGTATTCTTATAAGCTTGTAATGGATTCAATCAAAGCAAACAAATTTCAAAAAGCCGCAGAATATAAGTTACTCATAACGGGTCAAAGAAATGGGTATGTACGAAACTACATTATTTCGTCATTTTGAGAAATGTATTTATTCATTATGTTTTCCCAGACGAAGATCCTATACACAACAGGACGATAAGTTTCTGGAGGATTTTCTGAGGGGGAAATCGGATGGGCTAAAAGGAAACAGAATATATAAAGAGTTAGAACAAATGGTAGTTAGATGTTTCCAATAAACATTTTATTTTTCTAAATCGTAGTATAATTGTTTTAACATGAAATTCTTTTTTAATGTCAGAACGATAGCCACCCGTGGCAATCTTGGCGTAATCGGGCAGAGCTTGTTGTTATGCCTAATATGGAGATACAGCGAAATCGAAGAAACCAAAGTGAAGTTGAACCATCAACGAACACATCTAATGTTTCAGAGTACACTGAAAGTCCATTTTTTACTGATATTGATGATCAGGCGACTGAACAAGTATTAAACAAATTCCTGGAAAAAACAAAGGAAAATGAAATTGTGATTGATCTTTCTGAGGAAGAAGATAATTGTATACCCGAAGTTGAAAACGAGACGAATCGTCAGAAGGCAGCGGAAGATGGTAATAATGTAGGAAGCACTAAAGCTAGTCTACAAGCAACTTCGGGTCAGGAAGAGCTTAGTACAACTCAAATACCAAAGGGTGATGTTACCAAGACTCCGGTGAAATCAAGTTCCAGAATAACCCCAAGGAAAGGGATGAGATATGAAGATGCATTGGGTTCCTATGGTTCTTCTTTATCTACGTTAGGGAAGAGAAGCCAGGTTGTTGATGAGGATGAATTATACGATTCTTCAGAAAACCCACGGCATAAACCATTTACGAGTCGGAGTAGTCAAGACCTTTCTCTTCCAATTGAGAATGATATAATTTTATTGGATTCACCTAAAGCTACTTGGCCTGAATCACCTAATGGTCGCACCAATGAAGTTCAAGAACGGATTGAAGAAGCAGAAGTAGAAACCCCTTGTCCTGTTTCCTTAGTGCGTCTCGGTAAAAGACGTCAGATTCCAAGTGATGTTGACACTCCTACCAAGTCACAATCAAAGCGCCTGAGGTTATCACTATCGCCGATTAGACAAATTTCATCCCCCTTCAAGGCTTCTAGTTTTCCAATTAAATCGACTAACGTGTGCAATGATGGTGATGAGAAAGAATTTTTATCAAAGGTTAAAGAAATTTCCGAAATTACTCATCGTCCATTGACAGCGGTAATCCAAGCTTTAGGAGAGACTACTTGTAATTTTGAAGTGGCTAAAGATTTCCTTCTCAATGGAAAAACATGTAATATTTCATTTTTTACAATCAAATATGTATATTGCCCAAATATAATTTATCACGTGTAAATTCTATTTTTAATTTTTTTTTTTTCTTCACATCTTTTAGTAAACAATGCTAAATATATTTGGACAAGCGAGGAGGATGCGATTCTCACTTCTAGTACTTCGGATAAGAACAAGGTCAGAGAAATTGTTGACAAACACGGGACCAATGTGACAAAGGATAGGATTGACTTTCTTAAAACTTACATTACGCATCACTGATGTTATCCTCAATATTATTCAGAGGATTTATCAATTCAACACTTCATTTTTCTTTCTCACTTAGCATTATGTAATATTCATCATTTATGTCGGATGGAAGATGAAAAAAAAAAAAAAGATCGTAATACTAATGATATGCATGTTTTCTTTTTCTTTTTCAAAAACATTTCACTATCATTTAGTTATATTCAAATGCATCACTCTTACAAACATTGTATATAGGTGTAATAGTCCTTTCTGTTTTTCGAGATGAACTTGACTATCAAATAAATATTATCTCTAAAAGTGTATGTTCGTTCTTTTTTTTTCAATACTAACTTTCTCGAAATCACATACAGTTGTCTGCCGATAATTTCATAGAAAATATGCTTCAAGTGTGGGTCCCCTGAACTCTTGGCTCGGTCGTTTTTTGCCTACGATATAACATGCGTAGTCATCGTGATCGTAATAAAATGAGGATCACATACGCGATATCGAAAAATTTAGCAAGCATCAATTTTTTTGCTTCTTCCGCGAATTTCCTTCTTCGCTCTCGTCTTTACCATACTTTTGTTCCATTATTCTGCTGATCTTTTGGAAGTCTCTATCCAACTTTTGCTTTTCCGTGAGTTCTCTGCCACTCCTTCGTGTTTTACGACCATCTCCGGTTTTAACTCCAAATTGGAATGCGGATTTAGGCATCGCCGTAACATTGTTCTATAAAAAGAGAGGAAATTAGCAATTGTCTACAAAAATTAATATTGGCCCTCTGACATTTCACATCACCTTGTATGCTTGCCAATCTTCTTCTGTGTCAAAATCCCATTTGGATAATTGAGCCTTTTTATTCTTGGTAACTCCCTGATCTCGGATGGTATGTTCGACGCCTGTTCCATCTGAATCGGAATCCGAGTGACCAGAATCATAAGCACTTTCTCGCGTTCCTGCTACCATGTCAATTCCAAGACCATATGTTGAATAATCTCCATCATAACTGTCTTGACCATACAACCTTTTCTTGATTCCTTCTCCTTTTACGGATCTCGAGCTTTCTTTTCCTGGACTTGCACCAGAATTTTCCTCGGTGTTCTTGACTCCGTTGGCTGCAGCTTGTTGTATCAGACTTTGCAATTTCTGAACTTCTTGCGATTTGTCAACGTCCATTGGATCGTCTTCAATCTCAGCCACGGATGTACCGAAGTAATTATTATTACTATTGTCGATTTCTGAACTAACCGAAGGTGCAACATCATCCTCAACCTTCTCTTCGGACCTTTCATCATCTACAGTAACTTGATAGTCCCTTCCAGAGTCTGCAAAAATGTCTTCGCTATCATCAATTGCGACTATCTTTTCATTCTTAACTTCTACCGGCTGTTTTTCTTTAGTTTTTTTTTTCACTTTTTTTTCTTTGTTCTCCACCCCGCCAGACTTCCGTACGTAAGCCATTACTCGTGATATTTT